CTGCCCCGCGGGGAGAGATCTAACGCGCAGCATCGCCCGTGAAGGTCACCATGGCTGACAGAGCTGCTGCTGAGAGGGCTTGTAAAGACCCCAACCCCATCATCGACGGCAGGAAAGCCAACGTGAACCTGGCGTACCTGGGTGCCAAGCCGCGGATAATGCAGCCAGGTGAGGAAACGGCCCCCAACGGCTTTTCTCTCTACATCAAGTTTCTGAAGAGAGTAAAACTTAAAAAAAAAAAGGTAGTGCTGCCTCACACTTTGCCGAAGTACGCTCAGTGTCGGGTGTGCTTTGGTTTTGATGTTTAAAGGCAGCGTGCAGTAACTTTCTGGCTGTTTTGTACACGTGCCTTGTTTAAAAGGCAACAGCAATCAGAGATAAACTATCTGCAGTTCCCCAGGAAGACTTCCACAGCCCAGACACTCATTGGTTATTCCCAGTCCTGGGAACGTGGCGGCGCTGACCATTTACAGTATCATTGCAGGGAAAGATTGGCCTAGGAACCAACCGCTTCCCACGTGTGCGGTCTTATTAATACAAACAGTATCTTAACGCAAGCTCCTCAAGCAGATGGGAGCTATTAGGCAGGCTTTAAAATGAAACGGCTCTTCCCAGGAGCACATCTGAGCCAAGCTGATGTCCCAGGCACTTCCCAAAGCGAGCCACGGGAGCGCAGTGAGGGCACGTTTGTGCTCCCAGGGAGGCTGCGCGGAATCCCCGCGTTCTTGGCCTGAGGAACACTCGTGTGAGTGATGAAGTGCCTGACAAGGAAAGGAGGGAGCTACATTTGGGCGTTTGAGGAACAGAAATGAAGCAGGAATTGTGCCCCATGCCAAGTTCTCTTGAGTAGAGACGGCTCAAACTGAAGTCTGTAGGAAGCACACAAATACACCGATGAACAGAAAGTCCCGTAGAGTTGGTCCTTCAGAGGCTACAGTTAGGGACCAGGACAGAATGTGAAATAAAACATCAATGAAAATCTTGTGCTTGATGTTTTAAAAAATATGTTCTTCTAAACCTCTCTAGGAAAACATGCATTTTACTGGTTTCTGTATGGGGAGGTGTATATATGGATTGATCCATTTTGCTGTCTGAGTTTTGGTTCTACAGCCTTCAGAGATGGTCACTGGAGGTTGTGTGGTGTTGTTAGTGAAAGCTGTTACTCTGCATTTCTGTGTGTGTGTATAGCACAAATAAGTGGCCAAAAGAACACCCATTCAGCGAATGTGATGTGTTTTTGTTGGTAGGTTTTGCCTTTGGTGTCCAGCAGCTTCATCCAGCTCTCATACAGAGGCCTTTTGGGTAAGTCTGTTCAATGGGACCTCAAACAGGGGAGGAAAAAGTCTTTGGTTTTTTTAAAAAAAAAGGGAAGAAGAAGTATGATCCTTGAAGGCCTCTTGCAGTAGCAGCCTTATAAATTCAAACTCAACAGCAGTGCTGAAGTTGTCAGACTTGTAAAAGTGTACCCGTAAACGTGCTCACCTTGTCGGTCATGTTCTAAATGCCGCAGCCGAGTCAAGTTGTGTGGGACGTGTCCCCTCCACCTAAGCAGTCCAGTCCCATATGACCCTAAGATAAAACAAGGAGGTATGACTTGATGCAAGATTGCTGTGCCCCGTTTCTCTTTTGTCAGCTTGACTCAATGTTATTTATCTCTTTCTAATCTGACAGGGATCGTTTACAGTTAAGATAACTGATCAGAAGGATATGATGATAAGAGGTGGAATAGTTCTGTTTGGAATTAAACTCTGTAACCAGTAGACTCAAACACAAACAAGCTAAAATGGTGATTAACGATGCATGTATGTTTTTTTTTTCATATAGTAAATAGACCTCCGTGTGCTTTTTTTTTTATTTATTTATTACAGTAATGAAGTGGTGTTGATAGCTAAACTGTGTGCTTTTATTTAATTGAAAGAGCTGTAGTGAAAGTTTTTTTGGGGGGGGTCTCTTTAATTTGGTTTTGTTGTTGAGGAGTGACTTTGCCATGGGGAGCAAAGGGACTTGTTTTTTTTTTTTCCTTGCTTTCAAGCTGTAGCCTGTGACTTTTTTAACCGTATTTTGTAGTGAGTGCTAAATTGTGTGACTTCTTGATTTTTAAGTAAATCAGCGTATTGCCTGCATGTTCATAATTTTGGGGGAGGGTTGTTTTTGGGAGGGGTGTGGAGCTCCTTATTAACAATGTGCGTCTATTTGGGCTTTCTAATTTGAGATTTTATTTTTTTTCTTTCAATCTGTTATTAATATGTAGCGCATTTCTCCTTTACCTGAATATACTGTTCCTAATTAGAGCTAACTCTTGCTTCTTATAGACATAGCATTAGGAGGTGAAGTCTGCTTTAAACTTTCCATACAGTGTCACTTCACTAATGCACACTGACTGAGAAACTCATTGCAAAATAATGCATTTTGCTAATGAAAGAGTAAGCTAACAGTAAAGCAGGGAAAGGGCGTCACAACTGTGTTTTATTTGCCTAGAAGAGCTTTAGAATATTGTACCTCTCTGTTACTAAGCAACGATAGCTTCTTGGGAATTTTATTTGCCAGAACGGTAGGAAACAGTTCAAGTCCTCAAAACTGCCCTCAAAAGTTTTACAAAAAAATTTTATGCACTTTTAAAAGAGAATGTTGATTCTTCGGAGAGCTGTGGGGAGGCTGTGGGAAACTTTTTTGCCTTTTGTTTCTGTTTTTTTTTTTTCTCTTATTATTATCATCCCCTACTGTATTTTGTTCAACTTCTTTGAATTATGAGGAGACAACAGTGTGTACAGTGATCAGTTTATGATGCCCATGCTAAGGTTGGCAGGAGGTGGAGCAAGTTGTCTCCTTAAAGCACTTGTTGTAAAGAGGAACCAGTGGACTGCCCGGGGGTTGGCCATGGAGAGACTGAGCACAACAGAGAAGGAGAACCTGTGGCAATCCATTGCTAAAAGGACTGTGCAAGTGTAGGGTAGGGCTCCTTCTTGCTTTCATTACCCGGAGCCAACAATAGATGATCTAAGCTGTGTTTAGGTCAGGAGAATTCTTGCAGCAGGCTGAATGAGGTTTTATTTCTAATGCAGTGTACATAAACCTGAAGAAAAGGAGTGTTGGTCACAGGGTCATGTATATATGAAATTGGTCATTTTTAATCCCTGGCTTTTGCCTTTCTTTCACTGTGTGCAAACAAAGGAGATCACTAATCCTGCTTCCTCCTCAAAATTGCTACTGCCCTGTACCTTTTCTAAAGTACCTATTTCACATTGAGAAGAACAGCATTCATGAGGATGAATTCATTTTGAATGAATGAATTCTTCCCTCACCATATTCCTTGGCAATAAGAGTTGTTCCGGGGCTTTCTTGAATCTACTCTCATTGAAGAGTTCAGTCTGAGGATGTTACCTGGATTACACTGAAATAGGTGATCACCTGAAAGCCTTTCTTCTCCTGTACAGTTGCACTTTTTAGAAGTGCACTTCACTAATATGCTGTGTAAAATGGGTTGTAGTGGTGATTTACTATCAATGCTCTGCTAATCCATGCACAAAAGCTCCAAATGTTTTGTGTTGGTCTTTTTTTTTTTTTTTTCTACCAGTGTGCAAATTAGTGAGGTGCTGCCATGGTCTGATATAGAATCATAGAATTGTTTTGGCTGGAAAAGACCTTTAAGTTCATCAGATCCAACCCTTAACCTAATTCTACCAAGTCCACCACTAAACCCTGTCCCTCAGCACCTCATCTACATGTGTTTTAAATCCCACCAGGGTTGGTGACTCCACCACTTCCCTGGGCACTGCTGTATTGTCAGCAGTGTTTTGATATGGTTCCCCACCTATCAAATGAGAAACTGAAAATAATTGCATTATGTAACATTACTTCTACTGAGAAGATGCAGAAGTACAATATTCTGAATTAAGTACAACATTATTGCGGTGGAGGGAGCCAGAAACTAGATTAGATTCAATGCATGAAGCATTTAAAATGCGAGGAGTTTTTCTTTATTCAGTGCTGCAGAGATAATTCATCCACCAAATAACATTTCTCCCTGCTCCTTACATCCAGCATCTGCTTCACTGTTGGCGTGTTCTGTAAAAAGCTCTTTGATCACAGGACCGCTTTGTTTTCAGGAGGGTTTATTAAAATGCTATCTCTGAATTCAAATGGAATTTATGGAGGGGGGAGACAACTTTACCTCCTAAGATAGCTTTTCTCATTTTGGCTATGTAATTTTTACTTTACTATTGGTAGGAAAATATGGGGTTATACAGAAGTATTGGTGTAGGATATAACTTGTTTTGACAAGTCTTTATTTCCTGTCTAAAGTTCTACCTCAATCAAAAAGAGCACATTCCAACTGTTTTTAGTAAGACTAGATACCAAATTCAAAGTTACTAATTTTGTTATCAAATGGTTAGCTTATCCTACCTTCCAAGAGTTAGGCAAATCTGCTTTTCCTAAGATTGAAAGAAAAGCTCTCTTAAGTTTATGATCAGAAGACTTGTATAATATTAGACTACAAATAATCTGGAAGGAGGGAATGAAGTTGGAAGTCAGAAGTTAACCTGCAGAATGCCAAAAGTCCTCTTAATGATACCAGGCACAGAAGTGCATTAAAGGTCTTGTGTGTCTTGGTGTTCACATAACCTATTTCTGTTATAAGGAAAACTGTTCTTTGGTGAAAATCTGCTCTTTAATTATGCTTACAAAACTAGATGATGCCATGCAAGGGCCAAAGCAAAATGTTTTGTTCAAAATTAAATATCTGCTGTTGCAAGATTTGAATGTTGAGAATCAATGACGTGCTACTGCTGCTGAATTTCTGTATGCCACAGCTCTCTGCATTAGTCTAGAAAGTCCTTTCTTTCCTTTAAAACAATTAGCTTTCACTTTAGTATTGCTTAGAGGATTATTTTTGAGGTCAGAGTTAAACACAAATCTTCTGTTATAACAACATGAAGGTCTTAAGGCACATGGCAGAAGTGGATGTCATTCAATTTTGAATACCCCAGAGCTACTGTTACTGCTAAAGTTAAATGCAGCTTCCTTTTCCCTTTATTGCAGAAGTGTGAAACAGTAAGTACACGTTCCAAAATAAAAACTACTGCCAGGAAAGAAAGCTTAAACCATGTATAATTCTCACACTTTTACTTTCAAAAGTAAAGCAGCAGCTTTTATTTAAAATTAAGGATACTAAGGATATCCAGCATAACAGGGAATTGCTTTTGCAGCTTTTGACCTGGCAGAGCATTAAAGGCAGTTGGGTTCTGACTGGCTGAGATCTCCATGTGCTGGCCTCTGCAGTAGGTAGAAATTTACTTTGGCCATATAAAGCCATTTTACTCGACTCAAAACAGTTGTAGCATGACAGATGATCAAAAATAGCCCCACTGCAGCTTCTGCTGTCAATCATCATGTGTGAAATGGCATGGTGCTGAGGAGCTTGCACAGGGTTTATGTTTATTGTAGGGTAAGATGTGGCAAACAGATAATGTTTCATAACTTCACCACCTGTTAGTTTCTTGGCTTAAATAAAACAAGTCACAAGAGTTGGAAGTGGGAGCACATGTATCTTTCTGTCTCGTTCAAGGATATGGCTGAGTGTCCTAATGACAGCAGAAAACCTTAGTAACATCAGTTCAAGTCAGCACAAGCAGCTAGATAAGCTTGCTTACTGTCTCTTCTGTTAGAATTACTCTGTCATAAATGCTGTATGTAAAGATTCCTTCAGTGTGGTGTGAAATGGACTCTTACTGATGCTGAAGAGGTTCTTGGTGACTTTAAATTTGGGTTTATTCTTCTTTCATTGATACTTAAAAACCATGCTGTTGTATTTATTAGGATTGTACTTGACTGGTGACCAGTAGAAAGAAACTGCTTGTTTATGCTCATCCATTTCATATGGAGAGCTCAGGTATTGATGTGTATTTAAATGCACAGAGCCAGCTTAAGTATGCTTCAAATGCACTTCTGGCTAATCACTTCATAAATTAGGTGAGTGTTAAAAACCCAACGTATGGTTTTGGTTTATGTTTTCTTTCCCTTCCCAATCCCTATTTGTCACTCTTTGTTTTGTTTTTATGTTTTTGTTTTTCATTTCTCCACACAGTATGAAATTAATTTCATTGACCTGTTGGGTTTTTATGATTGTGGTGTTTATGTCTTAAACATGGCAGCTGAACATTTCTCTCTGCTAATACTCCTATTCAATCAACTGAGCTCTTTTTTTCTTAAACAGAAGACTAGGCTGTTCTAAAGCCTATCACTTAAACTATGTTTTGTTATGAATCTAGCTGACAGTGTCCCTTGTGATTGAACGTTTCCTTGTTGACCACTTAAGTAAAGCTTGAAATTATTTTAAAAATTAAACTAAAAAGCCCCTTTCCATTAAATCTTCAATTTGGAGAAAAGAGGACAGTTTTTACCATTGCAATTTGCATCTGTGCTTACAGTGTGCTAAAAGGCTGGGGCAGTCTTTAGAGCCATCTGTCAAGGTAAAGTTCAGTATGAAATAGTAGTGAATCTGCACAAGCAGTTTTTCATGGATTCATGAAGATTCACAGACTGGGAAGGAGTTGCATAGATGAAGGACTTCTCTGAAAATCCAGATGCGACACAGGGTTATGAATGTAAAATGAGAACTCTATTATTTTTTAAAATCAGATCGTGTGATAAAATACCACTATGGGATGAACTTGTATGAACACTTGTGTCCTAAGACAAGGACACGGCCAATTTGCAAAGCTGAAGGGCTAGGTAAACAAGCTGAGGAGGCAAGTTTTGTGACTGGGAGACGATGGGGAAGTGTGTGTACTGATCTGTTTAGAATGGTTATTTCTTAAGCTGTAAATTTGGTTTTTTTGCTTTTGTTAAGTACCAGATCTGTTTAGACTTAATCCTATGCCCACCTCCCAAAAAACTCTATGCTGTATGTCTTGCATAGAAATAAACAAGCTGGCACAAAACAGGACATCAGTGGCCTGATAATCAAACCAGGTTTGATCCTTGTGTCCTTATCAATTTTTATAAAAGTGTGATGCACATGTACTTAGGAGTCACTGTTATGGATTTTAATAGCATCTATGTAGCTTCCCCTCAATGGCCTCTTGTGACGGAGTGAGCTGCACTATCGTTCGTTTGGAAAGTGTGATTCTTGCTGTGTTTACCACACTTGTGAACTTTATTTAAACTCCTTTGTCGCCTGTGTTGGTTTTTTCCTTATTTTTAATAAGGGTGACTGAGGTTGCAGAGAAATTAATGTGTGCTGAGTCTGCATAGCAACTTAAGTAGGGTTGCCACAATACGCTCTCCCCCCTCGGCTCCCTGAGAAGACTTTTATATAAAGTCAGGGTTCGACCATTTTGTTGCCTTATTGGCTATTGTCAAACTCATTACAGCGATGCTGTCAAACCGCTCAGTTACTAATAATAAAAGTGCTGCAGGAAATAATTTTACTAAGAGTCGAGTAAAGTGAGAAGCAGGGTAATAAAAATGACTTAGAGGTGATTTGAAAAACAAATGCTGCAATAATCAAGCTTACTCCTTTCGAGCTGTCTTTAAAGCGACATCAGGAATCCTGGTCCTCCTCCAGATTCCGACAGTATTAAAGCTAAGATCCTGGAGCAGCATTAAGCCCTCGCGCTTACCTCGGCCGTGACGCTGTGCGTTGGGGCGACCCATCTCTTCGGGCCGGCGAACCGGTAATTGCTCCATCGAGCCTCGTTATTGTGGCAACCCTATGCACATAACAACGACTAAATTGAGTTTGGTTTAGTTCGGAGTACGGATCTGACGCGTCGGCGCCGGCTCGCGGACCGACTCTAACGCCCTCTCCCATCTTTCAACAGGATACCCGCTCACTATGTCTATCCACAGGCTTTCGTGCAGCCCGGCGTGGTAATCCCCCACGTTCAGCCCGCGGCGGCCGCCGCCTCCACCACGCCCTACATCGACTACACCG